AGCTGGAACAAAGTGAGAAGCAAAATGAGAATGTTCAGGAATTACACGGACATGAAGAGCCGTGAATGACTGTCCTCAAAGGCCATTTAGTGCTTGTCATCTCTGTGGGCTGACACACAGCACCTGAAGGGAGAGGCAAGATCAGCTCCACTGCTTCAGGTGTGAGACAAATATCATGAGACAAATTGCTGTCACGGTGCAGGAAACACGAGCAGAAACGAAAAACACCCAAAATCCTGTACAAAATCCTCTGTGTGCGTCTCAGGAGGATGTTTCAGATACAGGCAGGTGACAGAGTGCTGGAAAGTTAAGAGCTGTAGGACAGACTGAATCTACAATACCCTGAGTGCTGTGCTGAGGGGTTTTAGGTCCCTCAGCTTCACCAGGTGGCAGGACAGGGCTGTGGTCTCTCTGACAGTGGGGTTCAAATGGCAAGTGAGCTTGACAGAACAGAGCTGGGCCTGTCCATCCTCCAGCCTGCTTTTGACTTCTGGGACAGCAGAATTGATGCTGATGCTCTTCCTCTTTTTTTCAAGACTGCACCACAACACCAACACAGAGCTTTGCCTTTATCTGAAGGAACCGTGTCAAGTTTAGGCATTAACTTTTTTAAAATAAGAAATGCCAGTCTGTTGAATGCCTAGTGGTTTGGGATGTGATGGAAAAAAAGGTCCAGTAATTCTCAGCAGAATTTGTGTCTGACCTGACAGAAGTAGCAAATGGAAACTGAGTCAGTACTGGACGTGCCTCTTCCTGGGCTGCCACGCGTTCAAAATCTCCAGTTTTGCAGCGTAAGTGGAGATGATGTTGCCTAGAGGTGTTTGTGCCAAAGATCTGCAGAGTAGGTCCATCTCTGGTGGGAAGCTCTGTCCATCTGCACTCTTTGCTGCACCAGACACACAAAAATAGTGCAGGACAGAAGGGCTGGATGTGGCACTCAGTGCTCTGGGCTGGGTGACAAGATGGGGATCAGTCACAGGTTGGACTTGATGGTCTTGGAAGGCTTTTCCAACCTTAATCATTCTGTGACAGAATTACAGCCTCCCTCCCTCCTGGCAGGCAGGCACCTGTACTGCAGGTAACTCTGAACACAGAGCACATGCCACCATGAGACAAGGGAGTCCTGCATCTGTGTCCCTGCTCTCCCTGTGGAGGCTTGAGGGGAGAGCTGAGCATTCCCAGGAATTGCTGTTACACTGCTGAGCTAAAAGGGACCCTCCCAAAGCTCATCCCAAGCAGCAATTAATCTCCTCCTGGACAGAACAAGAATTTAAACATAAAGGGCTTCACTGCCTGAAGGAAAACAATGTTCTGTAGGCACTTGACCTTTGAGTTGCTTTTGTGAGCAGTGTTTCATTTCCCTGCCTGGCTGTCCCCAGGGCTGGACAGCAGGTCCCTTCCCTCCTCCATCCCCCTGCCAGGGCTTCCTTGGCTTTGCTGTTTGTGTTCCCTCCTGAGCTGTGCTGGGTAAACAGTAACACCCTGGCCTGGCTGCAGCTTCCTGCAAACTTCCACTGACCTGGGGAGCTCGACAGCCAGTCTGACACTGAAGGGAAGGGGCCTTTCCCTTGCCTCTGAGCTGGGGCTGCAGCTGATAAGTCCCTAATGGGCTTCACCTCTTGTCTTTCTCCATATATAATGAGCTCTGCAGCCCACAGTAAATCATTCTTTTTAGTTATCCTATGGGAATTTATGGGTGTTTCTTTAGGGGTAATATTCCTAGGGCATATCACCTTCCCAGCTCAGGAGGAACAGATGTGCCAAGCTACAGGAAAATGGTCTATTTTCATGATGTGTTTCTTTGTTGGGAATTTTTCCCTTGGAGTTCAGTGCTGGTGACTGTGGAGAGGACAACACCTGCATCTCCCATGCCACAGCTCTCCAAATTGCATCAGTTGAGTGCAGTTGATTTACACCACCTGGAATTACATCTTCCTTGAGGCTGAGGTTATCATTTTTAAAGAAAAGTGACCCTCTCCCTTTAGTTTCAAGAAGTTCTGTCTCTGAGAGATTTTTTTACAAGGAGTTAACTGATTGCTGATGAACTGAAGGTGGTGGACATGTTTGTAAAGCTGGCAGTGACACTCCCAGTGTGTGTTCCAGCAGATCATTTTTCCATGCCATGGTCAGTCTGAACTACTTAGGAGTTTCATGAAGGATCCATTTTTTGTCTACACAAACCATAACAAAGGTATCAGCTGGCACTTGATTAGTTGAGAATTTATTCTTTGTCATTTTGTTAAGCTCCAATGCTGAGCCACTTTACATTTGCTTATCTGTTAATGAACGGCCCAGCTGCCTGGAAAGGCTCTTGCTCAGAGCCTCTCCTTCCCAGTATGCCTGGTCCTGCTCAGGAGGGGGTTTGGAGCAGCTGGAGCATGAGCAGCGGCAGGACACACCAGGTTTGCCTGTTCTCTGTGTGCTGGGGCTTTTAGTGCTTGATGACTGAGATACTTGAGGAACTGTGGCTGCCCCATCCCTGGCAGTGTCCAAGGCCAGGCTGGACAGGGCTTGGAGCAACCTGGGCTAGTGGAAGGTGTCCCTGCCCGTGGCAGGGGGTGGCACGGGATAGGCTTTAAGGTCCCTTCCATCCCAAACCATTCTGAGATTCTGTGACATTGTTTTTTCCTTTTGCACAGAGTTTTACAGTTAGGGAGGAAAATAAAGCCTCCCTGACCTCATGGACATACCCAGGTGCTTGACCTTCCCCTGCAGCTGCCTGTCCCTTTCACTCCAGGGTCACTCTCCACTGATGGCCCAAGTGCAGCCCTAAACCCTCCTGTTTAAGCTCTGATGTCAAGCCTGTAGTTGTGCAGCTGCCACAGCAGCAGGAGCTGCTCCACTTGTCCCTGCACACATCCCACCCCAGCTACCCCAGTCCCAGGTATCCCACCCCAGGCTATCCCAGCCCAGGTATCCCACCATGTTTAAGAGCCCCAGTATTGCAGATGAATACAGGGAGGGAAAAGCCCTTCGGTAGACAGAGAACCCTCTTTAGGCTCAGGCTACAAACTGGATAAAGCCCTGACATAACACAAATCACAGCCTGCACAGGGCTCTAGGGCACCTCACTTATTTAGGAAAGAGAAGGACCCATAAAATATAAAACCTTTTTCTTTTTTTTTTTTCAAAACACAGTGAGAATAAAGCCCATGAGACCTGACATCCACCAGCGATTAACAATCACAGCTCAAGCCATCCCTCCCTTTCCCCACCCAACCTTTATAACAAGAAACTGCCTTTTTTTGAGAAATTTTATTCTGTTTTGACTAAGGTATATCAATCATTGCACAGTCCAATACTTTCCAACACTTTAGGATTATTTAACATGTGCTTAGCTGCCCTTTTTTTTTATGTTACTTTTGAAACAAACAGTGCTATTCTGAAATTCCCTCTAAAAATACTGGCACAAATATTTTTATATTCAGTGTTCCCATCTTTTCAGTCAAAACTTGACCCAGAACTGTGAACAGTTTGGGATCAAGACGCTCCTTTTTTCCCAGCAAGTTTCCTCTTGGCTATACCCTTGTCCACACTGGCACATTCGTTGTTGTCTCTTTTTCTCCACAGGACTAGAAATACTTGTGACTGCATTTCCCCTGACACTTTTTTGCACTCCTAGTGCTTGCTGCAAATACACAAAAATCTACTTTCTCTGCTTTTTCCTATCACAAATAATCCAAGGATCTTCTATTAATAGTCCAGGGTCTTCCTTTAAGTAGAAAGTCCTTTCACCGTATGCACAAGCTTTAAAATTGGCCATCAAAGCATTGTCACACTTGATACCTCCAAGTGTGGTTCAGCTGGAGAGCAGGACTGCAGAGGAACTGAGCAGCTCAGGGACAACCACTGAACACATTCTCATAATGTGACTCAACAGAAGAATTTAACAGACCTGTTTGGGAAAGTGAACGAGACACTGGACTGAGTATAAATATTTCCTATTAGTTTTAGGGATTGGACCAACCCACAGAGTTGTGGTCTGGAGATCTGGTTTCTCAGCCCCAGGCTTGATTAGAACCAGCTCCTGCCTGACCAGAAAGTTCAGATGGGTATCTGAACTTCCTAGATGTGGGGACATTACAGGTCTAATTTTTTAATTCAAATAATCTCTCTCACCTATTGTTTCTTGCAATGCCCTTACTCCAAAGCACATGTCTTTATGGAGCAACCTAGTCACAATAAACCAGTGGCTCAGAATAAAACCTGGCATGAAAAGACAGTTTTAGAAAGCAGGGAAATCATCCAGATTTCTGCTCTTTACCTGCTCTTTTACTGCCTCATGTTCAGTGCTCCTGATCAGCCCCTTGTCACAGCATGGTCTTCACCGCATGTGTGGCCTCTGACACACACAAAGCTCCAACCAACACTTGCCCTCATCGTGATGAATCCCATGGTATATTTTGTCTCCTAAGAATCCTACTGCCAGTTCTCAGAGCTAAAATTAGGCTCTCGAAACCACAAAAGGCAACAGTCCCACTCTCCTGTGTCAGTCTCTGCTGTCAGGCTTTGTGAATGAAACTGGTTTGGATTGTGGAGCAAAGGAACTCCAGCTCTGCACTGGGCTGATCCTTTGAAGGTTAATCCCAAGTGACAGCACTTACCCATTTCCATTGACATTCCTCGAGCAAAGACTATTATCATCAGTCAGGAAACACACATTGATACTCCTGGATGACTGACAAGAGGGCTCCCAACACACAGAAGTAGCACTGGCATCTTGATTTAGTAGTCCATGGAGTTTTTCATGTATTTGCACAGAAATCTGTGCCATTCTGGGCAATTTTTGGATGGACATGGGGCTAGATCCCAAGCCATTGGTCCTTGGCTCTAATCCCGATGTGACACTGGCATTTACAAACAGGCAGGACGTGTGTGGGTGTCCCATCACATGCCCCAGTGAGCCCTTCTGGGCAGTTTAACTGCTGGGATTGCAGTGCCCTCCCAGCAACTGAGCAGTAAATGAGCAGTTTTGCATATCAGTGTTCTTTTCCCTGCAGACTACAGGAATCCATTTGTGGAGATTCACCCGGAGCATCCCGAAATCATCTACATTTTGAATGACAAGAAAACAGTAGTTGTCCCCTGCCGTGTCACCTCGCCAGACATCAGACCCAGGCTTATCCAGGTGAGTCCTTCAGAGAAGCTCAGTTCAGAGGTCTGGGCTGCCAACACAGTGAGTAAAAACACAAATTAAGATGTATGAAGCTGGGTAAGTTTCAGAAAAAAAATAGCAAAGACACTGAAAATCCAGAAGCAGGGTCCTGGTCTTGCAGTGTTACTATTACACTGGGTACAAAGGTGTTTGGGGGATTAGGCTGAGTTTATCAAATATATTTCTGATCTTGTGCCTTGGTGTTCCTCCATATATTGGCAAAGGTAGGTGACAAAGCACTATTTTTCTTCAGAATTCTTTGTATAACACCTGGTTATTCGCTCTCTTGTGAAAGCTTCTCTCTTTTATACCTTGAACTTCCTCAGAACAGTTGCCCATTTTTGCATCATTTCATCAATTTAAACCAAGTCTCATCCTTGGGAATAAGCGGCTGCAGCATCCATCCCTTTGGCAGCAGTTACACCTGAATGTCAAGGTTACAGAATTGTCTGTGGAGGCCAAGGCTGTTTTGGATAATAAAAATGGAAATTTAAGGTCTGGGGCTTCCTGAATTGATGGAGATCTAGTCACTCATCTGAAGGGCTTTAGAGCTGCTCTCCAGAGAAGCCTGACATGGAGTGAGGAACAGAACATAGGCCTCCTGGCTCCAGTCCTGCATTTTTCCTCCTAAGTTATGTGCCTTTCCATTCCCATTCCGGGCTGAACGCTCAAGCCATCCTGATGGGAACAAAAGAGCTCATCCCCTGCCCCATTTCCAGCCTGTTCTGAGGGGCTGTGGGAGCTGGGGCTGTTCTGGACATGGTGTGAGAGCAGAGCATAGGCAGAGAGGCTCGTGCTGTGCTGGGAGAGGGGTCTGAGCACCTCTGCTCCTCTCAGCAGTCGGATGCCTCAGATGTCTCCTTCTCCTGGGAGACAGCACATGGAATCCCGGAGGCTCCTGCTGAGAACCATGGCAGGTTTCCAGCAGACGTGCAGAGGGACAGCACGGGCCTTACTGCTGCAGCAGATCTCCATTTCTAAATTCTGTCAGCAGGGGTTAAAAGGGGGCAATAAGGCTCCTCTCCAGATATAGCTTATCACTTTAGCCTGGATAAGTGTTATCACCTTCCCTCCCTGGCTACAAAAATGAAACATCCCCATCTTATTCCAGCCTGCTTCAAACAAATTCATGGCTGGAGAGTACTCTCAGTCACGTGAGACTCAGTGTGGCCGTGGAACTCCAGCCTCCACATTTATTCCCTTATTTATGGGCAGTCGTGCTCTCCTTGCTTGCCAGCTAAATTCTCCCTGGTAATTTCAAACACAAACTGAAGCCCTTTATCTTGCCGCTGGAATGAAATCTCCACCGAAATCTCCCTTTTGAGTTGCACAGAAAATAGTCCCCAAAAGATTTTCCCCCTTCAAGGCAGAGCAGCTGGAGGGCAGGGCACGGACATAGATGCAGTTTTGGGCACCACAATATAAGAAAGATTTTAAGTTATTAGGGAGCGTCCAAAGGAGGGTAATGAAGATGGTGCAGGGCCTTGATCTGAAGCCGTGTGAGGACACTGAGGGCACTTGGTGTGTTCAGCTGGAGCAGAGGAGACTGAGGGGAGACCTCCCTGCAGTTCCAATGCCTGGGCAGGGGCAGAGGAGGGGCAGGGACTGAGCTCTGCTCTGGGGGGACCAGGGACAGGACTCGATCATCCTCGATCATTCCAGCCCAGCACACCCGGCGATCCCATGCTGGGCCCGGCTCCCCGGAGCGCTCCGGGCCCGGCAATGCACCGCCCCGCTCGTCGGGAAGCGCTGCCGGCCCCGGGATCCAGCGACGGAAAGTCACGGCTGGTTTTGCCCTGTCTGGGAGTTCCGCGGCGCCCCTGGAGCCAAGGTGGCGGCTTCCCGTGAGGGGAGGAAGCGGGGCGGGAGAGGGGCGGAGGTGAGGAGGGGGGAGAGGTGAACAAGGCGATCGGACAAATTTAGAACATCCTCTACTTCCAAATTTAATCTCCAGTAGACAACGCACTTCAAAGGCAGGGAAGCCACTGTAACTTCCTTCGAGCAGCATCGACTCTTTTTGTTTGATTGTTTAAATATATATTTTCAGATGTTTTATGAGGACATTTAATATGTGTGTAGTGTTGAAAAGGGCCTCCTGAGTGGGGTTATTTTTTCTTTCCCCCTCCCCTTGCCATCGGGGAGCAGAGCTGCCAAACCATGAAGTTCAGCTTTATCACATTTTATTATTCTTGTAGAAAATGTACTTTTTTCCACCGTAAATTAAGTTCCTTATGTTACCATTATACTTTAAAATCATTGCACTCTCTGGCCTTTAAATATGCACAGAGAAAGGTACCTCTTGCTAATACTAAGCAGATCCCAGCTAACTCTATATATCATCTTTGTTATTAATGAACTCATGCTAAGACACACATTTCAGATTTTAATTTTGCTTAACATGATTTTAATTCTGGGCAAAAAAAGCATTTTCAGTCTTGTCAGATCTGTTTAGTCACTGATCTGGTTCAGTGTGCATTTGCCACTTACAGCTCTGACCTTCATGAGTGTTAAAGCATGAATAAGCCTCAGGTCTCAGATCTCCTTCGGTAATTTGTCTTATTTTTCCTAATGCTTCTAAACAGAGACTCCACAGCTTGATTATTTCAAAAGCGTTTACATGAAATCCTTGTTTCCTACTGCTGTCAAAAGAGCTGCTGCTCCAAAAGACAACAACTGTCTCGCTGTGCCTCCTTCCCACACACCATCCCCAGTCCCTGCCCCTCAGCCAGAATCCCTTTGTCTTTGGTCTGGGCTGGAAATGTAACAACAAGTGGCCCAAACCAATGCCAACCTCATCCCTTGTGTATTCAGAGGAGAGTTCTGAGCCTCAGCTCCCAGAGCCTGAAGCTGCAAGTTCTGTGGAACAGGAGAATTATTTAGACTGAATCCTCTGTAAGCTGCAGTGCCAAACAAGGGTTCCGGCTGCTGGGAGACAAACAGAAATTGCACACTGCTGAACAACAGGAACAGGAGCAAAACTGTTCCATCACTGGGGAAATTCCTGCTTGCAGGCCCTGGTGCAGCTCTTCCCTTGGTGAGCTCCACAAGATAAAATAAGGTCTTTGAGAAAAGAAGAACATCAAGTTGCCTCACCTTTGAGCAACTGGAATGGGAGGAGGAGGAGGAGGAGGAGGAGGGAGAAGCACTGCAAATAAAGTTAGTCATCATGTGTAGGCACACTGAGATTTCCCCAAACTCTTCATTTTTTGGGGCAGAAGTGATCTCAACACTCCTATAGAGCATCCCCAGTCCTAAAGGGCCTTCCCTTGTCCTGATGGGAAAGTCAGACCTACCTGGGCTTCCATTCACCCTCCTGCAAAAACACACTCCTGAGCTATTTGTCTGCACTTAATTTCACGTTTCTTTTCTACATTATAATCCAAGATTTTCAAAATTATTTTAAAGTAAATTACATTTTCTCTGGCAAATACAGGGTTTCCCTGTGTGTTAATAATAGCAATAAACCAATTATTCCTACCAGCAAAAGCCAAGCTACTCAATACTGGTGTGTCCAAGGACATATGGAAGAGGGTTCATCCTAATTTGCCTTTTGTATTCTCACTTCTTCCTCATGAGCAGAACTTATAAAGAGTGTTTTTTTCAAGAACCTCAGAACATTGCAAACGTTTATGAATTTAGGACAAAAAATGTCTGTTACTAAGTCCCCTTATTTCTGCCATCCTATGATTTACACTTTGAAGTCACCAGGAAATCCATAGGGTGCTGTGAGAGTGTCTTCCCCCTTTCTGTGGTATAGATGACTGGCCACAGATGATACCTTGAATATAACTGCTGTCAGGTGAGTCAGTGACATGAATGATTCTGATTTTAGGGGGCTCTCACTTCACACATATTTATAAAGTACTGTGAGATCCCAGGAAGATGTGTGGAACTGGGAGAAGCAAATCTTATTCTTAACCACTTGCAAAAATATTACCCTACAAAATTAATATAAGATGGGCATAATTATTTCCTGTAAGGAGATGAGAGAAATGGGACCTGCAGTGGGTAGCACAGCATCCTGCCCAAGATCTGAGAGGACTGGGGCTGCTGAAAAACCCTGTTATGATGTCCGAGTTTTGGATTTCAAAGACAGTCCCACCTCAGGGAGGGCTTTTCTGTTTGCTTAGGTTGATGTTGCTTAAGAAGTGTGTGGAATGAGACCACCCACCACTCTGGGAGGTCGAATCTCCCCCTGCCTCTCCCAGAACAGCCTTGGCTGGTTGCCTCGATGGTCGGAGGGGAAAGGGAAGGTCTCACAATCCTCCTTGTCTGTTCTCTTCCAGTATCCTTCTTCTGCAGAGATCAACTTCAAGAGGATGGTGTGGGACCCGAGGAGAGGGTTTGTCATCCCCTCTCATGCCTTTGTGTACTCTGGAGTGCTCACATGCTCTGCCAACATCAATGGAACCGTGTTCAACTCCTACTACCTGGCCCAGAGACTGGGTGAGTGACCCCCGCCCCCCAGGCACGGCCACCATGGCTCCGTGTCACTGTGAGCCCCCGGGGATTATTTCTCGGGGAGCCTCAATTACATTTGAGATATCTAATTGGTATGATCTGTAGCAAGTCCAAGCTGGAATGCTAAAAGAAAACTCATTCTTCCCCTTTTTTCCTATTCAATAGAGCTTGGACTTGATCCACTCCTGGTTTTGAAAAATTACCAAGTGTTGAGGTGGTACAAAACAAGAGTGTTTTATTCAAACCCCACCAAGGCTTTGTTTGCTTGGATTGAGCTGTATGTATATTCAAACAAACTGCTGGTTTAGGATAAACCAAAAGCAGCTTTATTTTTGCTTCTGGTCATTAAACACGCACAATCATGATATAAAAATCTCACTAAACTGCTAATTCAAACCTTTGCTTTTTGTATATTTTCTCTTGCTGATTTACTACACCATTTCCCTTGTATTTATAGTTGAGCTTCAGCTCATAAAGAAAATATGAATTTGGAGCAACTGAACATTAAATTTTTGAGTGCTGAACTTTTATATGAAGCCAACTAGAATTTGTTTTCCTTTTGCTTTCAGTGTATGTTCTTTCTTTCCTCATATATCTTATATTTGTTGTGACTTCATTCCCATTAGATCATGGCATCCTTCTATACAATTAGCACTCAGCTTTAAACAACAAGCCTGTAAATTTGTACGGCAGCCAAATAAGAGTCCTGTAAAATCTCTATCTCTTTTTCTTCCTTGCTGTAGTAAGTTTTTACTAAATCATGAATGCAAACCTAAAAAGCCTCTTAGATCATCCCTCTGCAGCCCAAAAGGACACAGTCAATCCCTTACTCTATCCTGTGTTACTGTGCAGTGCTCAGGGGTGTGTTTGGTATGGGGGACCAGAAACAGGATGAAATTTAGTCCAGAGTTGATGTGTTTGAGGCATCCATAAATACGTAAGATCAAGATTTGAGGATCCCATTCATGAAAAGGAAAGGGAGCAGGTCAGGAGAGGGCAGGAGAAACGTGTTTCATGTTCCACAGAAGTGGAGCCTCTCACAGATACCCACATGTTGAGGCCTTGAAAGGATGAGTCACCTCCGAAAAGCCTTTCTCTGGAGCTGGGGAGTGAGGGTTGGAGCCAAACATGGCAAAGGTAGGAGAAGTCATGCCTTAATGACTCTGTCCATGGGATTAGCTGCTAGTCAGGCATTTACACAACTGACCCAATGTTTACAATTTCCATAGCAAGGACAGAATAAGGGGAGGTATTTTGGGAAGCGAAAGGAGTGGATATTGGGGAGGCGACTGTGGTGTGGATTCCACCCTTCGTGTGACTGATGCAAAGAGTGCTGTGAGGTTACACCTTTGCCCTTTCCATTCCAGAGGGCAGAATACAGAACCTGGCTCTGAAAGCAACTCCCAAAAAACTGCTGGTTGGAGAGACTCTCCATCTGGAATGCAAAGCAGAAACCTTCATCAACGGGCGCATTGAGTTCATCTGGACGTGTCCCCGTGGGAGGGTGAGTTGATGCAAACTGATTCTGCTTTCATGCATCTCCCCCTCCCCAAAACAAAGACCTATCTACAGGGCTGAGGAAAACCTGACTAGGCCTTCTTCTGAAACATATCCAACCATTTGTAAGCCTACAATTGATTGTATTTTTAGTCTGGATGAATCTGAAACTTATCTGACCTTCTTGAACCTGCAGATTAAACTGCAAATCTCAGGCTAAAAATACCCTGGCAAAAAGAACCAGGAGTGTTCACTTCTTATTGGGAAGAAAAACTCTCATTTCTTCTGCCCTGTGTGTCTCACAGGGACAAGTCTCAAAGGCAGCCATGAAGGTTGCACGTTGTTCATCCATCTTGGGATTTATGAAGTAGGAAAAAGCAAAACAAAAGAAAATTGTACCTGCTGAAATTCCCACCAAAGAATGGAATCTAAATTCTGAGTGTATGTTCTTGAGCTTTCTGGGGAAGGCAATACAAAAGTGCCAAATATGAAGTGGAAACATGTAAGAGACTGAGCATTTGAGGTACCAAACCCTCTCAGTTCTCCCAAGGGAAAAACAGAGGGAAGAAGGGGTATTTTCCAAATCAGTTCATGTATCTGAGATTCTACTCATGGTTCTGTTTGATGCTCAGAATTAAAATCAGTGGGTTTTTTCTTTTTAGTTCAGCAAAATACACATTTCAAAGAAGGATCCAGGCCTCTTGGGAAGGTGTAAAATGTGACTCCAAAAACCTGATTAATTTTGACTTATTTTGCTTACTTAAAGAAAGAACGTCTGGGTTTGTTTCAGTGAAGAAACTACAGAAAACATAACATAGAATTGATCGAAGTGCAAGTACCGGTGTGACTGAATTTTGTTTCTTGAACCCCATATGGTGGAAGAGAGTTGTTTTCCTATGAACCCTCCTTATATTTCTAACATTATAAATGTAAAATTTCTTGGCCAAATCTCTGGGTTAAAATATCTTACCAGAAGCAATAATGCTTTCTAAAATGCTACAGGAATTTGCATTGGCATTTGGCTGTCATAATATATTATATTTCTGTCATAATATATTTCTTTTAGAAAGTAGGAGGCTTTTAATACAGAAAAATACTGACTGTGACCAAAATAAATTTTAAAAAAACCAAACCCAAAACCCCAGAGCACAGCTCTGACCCTACATCTGTTTTGCCCCAAGATCCCTGGGATTTGGTCCTGAAGAAGGGCTGAGCTTTGATACATCCCCTTATTTAGCTGTTTGCCCAGATTTCAGTAGAGAAGCACCACAGTTCCACTCTGTTTCTCTCTCTTATTAGACTCGATAATGAAACCTCACACAAGAGCTCTTCCTGCTGTTTTGTCTTTTATATAATTTATTTCAGTGATGGGGAGATATGATAATTTTTATATGAATCACTGCTTTTCTGGCAGACTTGGAAAGGCTGAACAAAACAATCCACTTTATGCTGCTTTTTGACCCTCTTTTCTGACTTGCAGCACCCCCATCCTAGGAGAGCAATGGACCAGAGTGACGTGGTGTACAAAGTTGGCAGCAGCCTGACAATTGAAAATGTCACCATGGAGGATGGAGGGCTGTACATCTGCAGGACATTCAATGCCACCAGGCTGGAGGCCAATGTCACAGTTACAGTGTATGGTAAGTGCTGCAGCCAAGCCAGGGCACCCAGGGACCAAGATTGTTAAGCTTAAAGGTAGGAAATCTGTTGCTCTAGAAATGGCATTAGGAAGAAAACCAACTAGTTAAACCAACCATCAATCATCTGTAACCTCTAACCTCGATGAGAGTCAGCACCCAGCACTGTGTCTTCAAACAAATTCAAGAGAGTACATTTAGATGGGATATTGGGAAGAAACTGCTCCCTGTGAGGGTGGGGAGGCCCTGGCACAGGTTGCCCAGAGAAGCTGTGGCTGCCCCATCCCTGGAAGTGTCCAAGGTCAGGTTGGACAGGGCTTGGAGCAACCTGGGCTAGTGGAAGATGTCCCTGCCCATGGCAGGGGGTGGAATGAGATGAGCTTTAAGGTCCCTTCCAACCCAACCATTCTGAGATTCTTTGATGTCTGAGGACATGGATTAATTGGGAACTGAACTGTTTTGAAAAAGTCACGTGTGGTGCTGAGGCCCTTGTAAATCCTGCCTGTTCATCCACGTGGGCAAGAGATACCCCAGGCAGTTTCACACCCCGATCCAGGGCAATGCAGGTGTATATTCCCGGCTTTCCATATCAAGTCCCTCATGTGGAAAAGGCCCTTCCTGGCTGTGGCTGTGCTGTTCAGGAGCAGCCTGACATTCCATTTGGTTGGCTGAGCTCTGCAGATCTGTACTGGAAACAATCCCAGGCAGTCACAGCACAATTCACAGGTGTGAGCACAGTCCCATGGCAGATCTGCCATTCCTTGTCTTCCTGCTCATTTCTCTTCCCAGACAAACCCTACATCACTGTTTCACATAAGAAAGGGCCTTACTACGAGATCACCTCGGGACACAAGTCACTGAAACTGGCTGCAAAGGTGGACGCCTTCCCTCGGCCCATTGTCTCCTGGTGAGTTCCCTCATCTGAGCAAAATCTGGGATACAGGACCTTCTTTAGGGCTCCTGTCTGGAATAGACTGTCGCTGTTCCTTATCACAGAGATAAGAGCTGGGAGCTGGGAATGCTCAGAGCTGGGGGCTCACACTTCAGCTGAGATGTGACTCTGCTCTGAGCTGCCCTAGTTCTGTGGAGCTGGGCAAGCCATACCTCATGCCCAGGCTGGTTTTCCTCCTAGTCATTCAGGAAAGGTCCCTAAAGGAAAAATGAGGGTTTTGCTTACCCTGGACACAGAAGTGTTTGGGAGATTCAAGTAGAAAGCTCCTGGGGAAGGGTTGCCTGTTGACTCCCATCAGCGGTGCTCAGTCTGCAAGGGGATAATAGAAAGGACACGTTCTCAACATGACAAACTGTTTCTTTTCATAACTTTTAAATAGTTTCCTCCAATCCTCTACCACCAGATCCTTGTAAACAATACAGTGAATGCTCCAGACCAAACTAAGGGCTCCAGTAGGACTGTAATGGATCTGCTAAACAGGAGGGGCAACATGGCAGCAGCTCTAGGAGACATTCATGTCTCTCCTTGCCCTTTCACCACTTGTCTTCTCTCCTGCTGCTTTTCCAGGCTTCATTGTGCCAGGGGTCTTTAACAACCCCATGCAATGCCTTATACATCTTTAACTGCATGAAATCCCATGGGATATCTGGCAGGGGTTTTCCTGTCCTGGCAGAGAAGGAGGCATTGCCCAGAGCACCTGTCCTTGGACAGCTCAGTGCCTGGCAGGCACAAAAGGGATTGCTCAAGGCTGGCCTTGCTGCATTTTATTAGCAGTGCAATAACCCCAAATTCTCTAACATTAGTCAAATCAGTGAAATGAGTGGTGCCAGGAGGTGGTTTTAATTGCTGCTGTTATCTGGGGATGTTGGGAGTTGAGGTGGGGACTGAGCCCCTCTCTCTGCCAAGGCTTTGTTCAGGCTCAGCATGGAGCTGTTTGGGGGCTGCCTGGGACCACCAGAGCTGTCTTCCCTCCAAGCTGCAGCTGTTGATGTTGGAGGTCTCTCAGGATAGTTGTTTTAACGACTGTAAAGGAAGTTTCCAGCATTCTCAGGCATAGGACATGTGTCCCAGCTTCTCCTTCCACCAAGCCTAAAGCTCTGTGTGTGGCAAAGTCTGGCCTATTTCCTGACCATAACCCAAATCTGCATATTGGGTTAGCAGTGAAGAGGAACCTACTCATACAGATCCTGCTCTCCTACTCCTAGTGAACATTTCGGGCTGGGAATTCCTCACTGACCTTGCTATTGACTGTCTTTCTCCAGGTCACAGACTTTAACTTTTCAGAAACCTCAAAGGGTCATATACACATTTTGAAAGAAAATTTTGCTTAATTAATCTCTTCTTTTAAAGCTGAGGACATACATTTTGCTAACCCATGATTTCCTGCACTTGGTATTGCCCACCTAGCATGATTTGGGGCATTTAGAGGTACATTTCTGACTGTAGTTGAGCATGTGAGAGGCACTGCTCATTCAGATCCATTAAAACATCTTTTTCCTGTTTGTTGGAAACCAGATGAGATGCTGCTCAGTTCTAGTGTGGAAGTATATCAAATTCAAGCAGGGATTATAGACCTGTATTTCCCTTACTGGTTCCCAAGGATGACTCTTTACCCACCCTAAGGTGGGTGACAGCGTTTCTGAGGGAAAACCTTCATGATGAGCCTTGATGGGACTTCCCAAACAGGTACAAGGATGGCAAACTGATCAAGGACAACCACACCTGCTACGAGCCAGATCCACTGAAGTACAGGCTGGGAATACGGGATGTGAGACCCAAACATGCTGGGAACTACACCATCGTCCTGAGCAACCCCAAATACGGCCTCTATAAGAACCTCACCATGCAGCTGGTGGTGACAGGTAAGGACTTGCTGTTTATAATGGCTTCTCCTGGGGTATTTATCATAGTTTGGGTGATCCCACTTCCCCAGCCAGCAGGAATGGGTGATGTTTCCCAGGGTTTAGCTGATAAGAGCTGACACAGCACCATGCACAGATCACCACCTCACTCAGGAACCACTGAACCCCTCCTTTCACCATGAGTTCCATCAAAGCAGCCCAATGGAGAGGAGTTAGTCTGAAACTAGGTCATCTAAAGCCCCTTTCCACCAAGACAAGGCACCTCCAACAGCTGCAGCACTGTGTGTGGCTCCACAGAGGAAAGCAGAAAGGGCTTGGAAGTGAACAAACCTCACAGGACTTACATTTTAATAGGAGTTTGGGAGGATATCGAGTAGTGAGGTCTTAGAACTACAGGCACACTTTCCCAAGAGAAGTGATGGAAGTTTTATCCCTTGGGATTAAGAACTAGCTTGGGCAAAGCACTGGAGAACATCTGTTGGGACAGGAAGAGTCCCAGTGGGGCTGAGGGAAGGAACTGGATAAGCTGCCCTGGCTTTTATGTCTGTCTACCATCCTGCTCCAGATACACTTTCCAAGTCTGTATTTTCTGTTCTGTCTTTTATCTGCTGGGAGCACTTGAGAGACAGGTTGGTTTTCAGGGGAATGTGGAGAAAACTGTGGAGTAAACTGTGGTGTGCGCTGAAGCAGGTTCATTTGCCATAGAGGGAAAATAGATATTGGAATCCCATTTATCAACCTCTCTTGCTGGGAAAATGGAAGACAGAGCCACATTATCTCTTTGCACATCCACTGCCTCTTTTAATCCACTGAATTTGGCAACAGAGATTGAATCATGAGGACAAGTAGGAGCTCAGCAAAACTCTGCTTCCCTTGGTATTTCCTGAGGTTCACTCGGGCAGTGAGGTGGATAAAGTTATTGAGACAGGTTTGCTTTCTTTTCTGTGGTGAACTCTTCTCTCCTTACCCTTTTTACACCTAAAAATATTCTCAATTGTCCATTTTTTTATATACTTATGTATTGTTGCACCACGTAACTTCCAGCAGTTGCGTTTTTCTCGTTTCACCTTTCAGAAAGGAATAATGCCTAAAAAATGGAGGATTTGTCACTTAGGCACATCTGGCCTATTAAAAATGCTAAGAAATATATGGTAGATTAAAAAAGCTTAAGCCTGACATAAACTAATGTGTGATAAGCTAAGAACATGCTTATGGTCAGGTACTGCACCTCAGCTGAGGAGGAGGAATGTGTTGAGCTGAGTAATTTGTTCACTTGAGATTGTTTTTCCATACAATGGTTTTGCCTCTTGTTAAGAGAACGGAAACGTTCAGAGGAAGAGAAAATTAAGAATGATAATAAACTATCTTGTCAAGGTAAATATTGGTGTTTGCGTGCAGAGGAGACCGTTTACTGGAAGAGCAGCCGTTCCCCAAATAGGCAGATGAAAAACAAACAGCCCTTGTTTCTGTGAGCAAGATGCTATTTCAGGATTAAACCATCCCATGGTCTTCACTGCAGCACAAGCCTTTCATCTCTATTGTATGTCCAGGATGGTGGCATCCAGCCCCTCACATGCCTGGTGCTCATCCTCAGCCTTCCCAAGGGCTCAGCCCAGCAAAGACTTCCATCAGCAATAATTATTTCATTGCAAACCCACCACTTCTCAAGAGCTTGTAAAGTCCAGCTCCTGCAGGAGCAATTGTCACATGGGGAAGCACAGGAAAAATGCACAGCAAGTGCCTCTGTCCTGGTGACAGAAAGTCGTGGCAGAAATGAGAGCAAGCAAGGCAAACACGTGCCCAGGAATGCCGTGGGTTGGAAGCTGCAGGCTGCACACAAAGGGGGTGTTTGCCTTGGCTGCAGGCAGGGCTGACACAGATCACCCAGGGAATCTCTCCTGCCTTTGCCAGGCTCTTCCCTGCAGCCCCACCCTGAGGTGTGTGAAGCCCTCAGACCAAGGAGAGGCTCATTTTGCTGTGATTCATGTGGGCAGAGACCAAAAAGGGCAAATTTTGCTCTTGGAGCTTATCCAAGAGCAGCAAACTGCCCATTTCTTGTGCTTTCCACCAGAGTAAAGGGACTGCTTTTCCAGATCTGGAAAAAGCATCCTCTGCTTTATTTTCAAACCCACTCTGAAGCTCCCAAGTGAAGGCAGATTGGAATTTTCCCCTTAACTCTCTGCAAATAACCTGACATTTTATCTCCAGTCATCATGACTGATATCCTGTTGTCACACCTGGATAGATTAAACTGCTTGGAGTCTCAGCAGACACACAGACACAGAGAAGGAGACCAATGCACACTTTGTAGGCCTTTTATGCAGGGATTACCTTGCCCACCACCTCTGAGCTGGAGGTGTGATTAATGTCTCTGCTTGGAACCATAGTCAGTCTGCAATTACTGACTCTGGAATCTGAACACAGGGATTAGTAGAATTGATGGAAAAATACTCTTGGGCTTCAAGTGAACATAGTGGTAGGAGTATCAGTTTTGCATTGAGTCTAAAAGGTGGAGCCTGCAGCAGTTCAGCTCCTGATAAACCTCTTGCTGAGTAATAACCAGGTATCAGCTCCCTGAGACTGGGGAAGAACATTTCTTTTTGAGTAATTGCTCTCAAAAAAACAGGGCCAGTCTTTGCATTTCAGATCTGCATCTGTGAGAGGGAGTGAGTTCTGATCCATACAGTTAAAGAGAAGAGGGAAAACCATTTAAATAGACTTTTGAATGAGAAGATCAATGTCATATGAATGTTTTCTGTTGCTGCAAGGGGCCACTGCACTATAGAAATGATCAGTAATCACACAGCCCCCTCTTCTGAGGGTCTCTTCACAATAATCCATCATTAATGTTCCCAAGTGCCACAAGTAGTACAGCTAGCAGTCAGCCTGCTGTGACAAACCCATCAGCTGCAAATTTGGACGAGGTATAGAGGAAGTTTAAAGTTAACAGTGCTGTGAATTGTTTTTCACAAACAAAGTTTGTGAAACTCGTGGACTCGTCCATGAAACTGCACTGTATTAATTTTTGCAGTGTATTTTATTCAGTAATAATGGCAGCAGAGGAGAATCCTTTAAGCAGGATGAGAACAAGATCAGAATTCACCTGCCTGAGCCCTGGATGCAGCGTGTCTCCTGACTTGCACTGCTACAGATTTCCTTGGAGTCACCTCCTGGATACTTAACTGGGAGCAATCACAGTAGTTCTGACATCCATTGTACAAGGTATTTCACTCCATGGGGAAATATTCCAAGCTATTCCCCCCCCTCCCCAGGTTGGTTTGGCCATAAAACTGATAAGTACATGCAGGGGTATCATCATTGTCTGGGCTCCAGAGAGTAAAAAGGGAGCAAAATGGGCAAATAACTCCAGAGCTGCAGGGTGGGAACTGAGAGCAACCCCAGCCCAAGGCGAGGACCTGGCTGACAAGGTACATGAGGAGCTGCCTGGCCTGGAGGAGAATCGTGCTGCTATTCAAAAAATGTCACTTTAAGAAGTGGATTAGCTGTGCCTCTGGTCACCCTTGCTCCCACTGCAGCTGGAATTTAATCTTGCAGGAGCACATATCTTGGTGTGGAGTCACCTTGGCTCATTGTAGGACTCAAGTCCCCAGGAGGCAGCTGATTGCATTTTCAAAACACTCCTTCTTTACATATTTACACATCAAACACTGTCCAAGAAGCGGCGGGTTGCTGTGTTTTTGTTTTGTTTGATTAAATTCTTATTGAGAAAAGCTTCGAGAAAATAATGTCCTGAAGAATTTGGGAGGGAGGGAGCAAGGAGAAGGAACAATCCTAGCAAACAGCTGGTGGCTGAACATCTGAGCCAGCCAAGAAGGAGAAATGTGGGAGAAAAGACTTATTCCAAGCTGGAGTGCAAAGCAGTTTCAGAACAAAACATAAACAATCCCCTCAAATCTATTTCTGGGCAAGCAGGCTGTGTTTCATTCTCACCCTTGTCCGAGTCATCCATGTCCATCAGGATTCCTGCTGAGCTCTTTTGGAGCAGTCAGCGTGCTCTGGCCACCACATAGGGAGTGAGGAGTGTACTGAAGCATAAGTTAATTCAAAAATGGGATGAATAACCTCCTTCACCCTTTGCCTTTCTTCTTTGTCCCAAAGTTTCTCTCCTGTGCTCCCTCAAGGCTCTTCCAGCAAATATTGCTTTGGGTTCCAGCTGCTCCAGCCAATGAAGTTACATTCCCTCATAGAGTCCTTGATCCCCCAAGCTCGTATTGTATCCATAAGAAATGCAGGATTAAGTGCTAGAAATAGCCTTTACCACAGGCAGCAGAAATTCACAGGCTCCTGGTGAATTCCCTGTGTCCTGGAATAACAGGGATGCAGGGCAATTCACGTGTGCATTGCCATGTGCTCCTTGTTATGTCAGCGAGGCACTGGCTGCACCTCGACCTGTTACCAGGGAGAAGCAGCTCCAGAGCTCTTAATGATGCACATGTTGCCCCACTCTGTGGCCAGATCAGCTCTTCAGAGTTGGTTTAAAATCAAAGGCAAAGGCAGTTCTGTGCCTGACCTTCCTTGGCTTGAAAGGATGAGTTGACATCAAAGGAGTCCACAGTGACCTCTGTAAAAGCCAGTAAATATGTGATGATCCATGTGAGCAAAACCCCATTGCCTCACCCAGACCCAGAGCAGTCTGGAGAGGGAAAGGAACCTTGAGGATGAGGTTAATGCTTTTGGGCTCTGCCAGTTCAGAGAAAAAGAGCTCTTAGAGCTCTGCTAAAGCCAGGGCAGGACAGAGGGGAGAGTCCCAGAGTCTCTGGTGTTGGAAGGGGCACTGATATCTCTGAGGTGAACACTGCTGCAGTGGGAGAAACAAGGCTTTCCTTGGATTATCAGTGAAATCCAGCTGATGTTTAGGCGGAAGGACTGAGCCAGATACAAGAATCAGGCCTACACGAAGTGGCCTTGCCTGCACACTCCTGCCAGGGCTGGGCTTCCTTTGGGTATCACATCCAGCTCTTGCACAGCTCCTTGGAGGA